CTATGCTAAATTGTTTTAAGCTATTTTTCAATCCCTGTGGCCAATCCGATTTAAGTCTGTTTTGTAAGAAAGGTTACTTTATGAGCTGCTATTCCGAATGCTATTGAATTTCAATTTGTGTGTGTATATGAATTTTTTAACTGCCTAGTTCTGCAGTTCCAAACAAATTTCTCAAAAGTTACAAGCTACAAAAAGGAAAGTAGCCAATAGTTCATTTTTATTGATCCTAAATTACAATTCTGTAAGTGAAGTGTGAATACCAAGTAGGCTGATTGGTGAAATACACTGTTTAGAATTTATATACATAAGTGAGCGTTGCCCAGTGACAATACACACCTATTTCAAAGATGTTTCAATTGTTCGCAGCATTTCTGAAACTCCTCTTTGAATACTGCCTTTAGAGCTTGCAGCACATTTTAATCTTTGTCTTTTGAAAGTAGGTTTAATAATCCAAAGTAATTTTGGTTAAGTTTGGTGATGCAGAAGATGGAAAATAATTTTTGTTTGTTTGTTTTTGTTTTTTTGAGACAGAGTCTCACTCTGTCAGCCAGGCTGGAGTGCAATGGTGCCATCTCGGCTCATTGCAACCCCCATCTCCCAGGTTCAAGAGATCCTCTTGCTTCAGTCTGCCGAGTAGCTGGGACTAGAGGCGCTTGTCACCATGCCTGGGTAATTTTTGCACTTTTAGTAGAGATGAGGTTTCACCATATTGGCCAGGCTGGTCTCAAATTCCTGACCTCAGGTGATACACCCGCCTTGGCCTCCCAAAGTGCTGGGATTACAGGCGTGAGCAACTGCGCCCAGCTTGGAAATTAATTTTTAATACCTACTATGTGCTAGAGGCTTGTCTTGGATTATCCAGTGAATCTGGGTAAATTCATTTTAGGTTGAAAATGAAGGGTCACCATAGAATATGAATCAGTGCCATAGATGATTTTCCCACTGGAGGTAATAATGTAGCATTGTAGGAAAGGCATATGTTTTCTGTCAGGCTGACAGGTTTGAATCACCACCCTGACACTCTTCTCCCATCACCATCACTTAGCCTCCAATCAAGTTACTTAGATTTTCCGGGACTGTTTCCTCATTTATAAGAGAAGATGACTAATATCTATCTCAATAATTTAAAAAATAAAATATACAAAATACCTGGCATAATTAGTCCCCCTTCCCAAGGTGACAAAGTGAAGGGAAAATTTCTCATTATGATGAAGATGGTCCCGGATGTTTTTCAAAATGAGTTTTATTATTTTATGGTTGCATTTTCCTATTATCTTGTCAGATATTAATTCCAATTAATTCCAATTAACAATCTCCAATTGTTACTCCTCTATTTTGGGCAAAGATGTCTTGTTTTTGGTGTATTTAGGAGAAGGGACTGTGTGTGAGTTTACCTGGTTGTGGGGTGGTATGGCAGAGGTAGTTGTGAACAATGGGACTGAAAATATAAATTAATACTCGGTTATGGAGGGCTTTGAATGGCCTATTACAGGTTTAGACATTATCCAATAGAAAAGATGGCCACCGAAAGCTTTTGAGTAGAGACAAAGTAATTTTGTCTGTGCTTTGGGAAGATTACGGACATGCTAGATTAAAATTTGTTGACAGCAGGGTTTGCTTTTTACTTGCACATCTTTTACTCATCTTTATGTCAACGAGTAGAAGAACAAACAACTAGGTGGAAGGATGGAAGGGGGAATAAGGACAAGGGCAGAATGATTAGGACGGGATGGAAGACAATGCCATGAAGGGTTTACAGAGCCAGGCTCAAAAGGATTCAGCAAGTGTCTGGATGACGGAGCTAAGGAAGATGGGGGAGACTTGAGAAGAACGCTGCGGCAGCTGGCTTGGATGACAGCTCTGGGTGGGGGGTGGGGCGGTGGCTAGGAAAAAGAAACACAGAATGGGAAAATGGTTTTGAAAATGAGGGGAACAACGAGTCTGATTTTAATTCAACGAGTTTGCATGGCAGTCTGATAGGCAAATGAAAACACAGGTCTGGAGTTGAGCTGAGGTCAAGTCAAAGATTTGTTTGTAGAGTCATACCCATAAAGATGATAGCTGAAATCTTGGTGGTGATGAAATCATCCTTGGAGAATGTGTGGATCAAGAAGATTGGCCAAACACAGGGCCTTGGAAAATGCTAATACTTACGGGATGGTTGTAGGAGAGGAAGCAGGAAAAGACAGAGGGGAAAAAATGGGCACAGAAATACCAGGAGAGACCCATGTCATGGAAACTAAAAGGGAAGGATTTCAAAGGTGCAGCTGTCAGGGCAGACCCAGGAGAAACGACAAGTATGATGAGGTCAGAGAAGGGCTGGTGGGTTTGGCCATTCATTAGCAGCTCACTGGTGACCCCTTTGAGAGCTGCTGCCATGGGGAAGATGGGTCACAGGGAGATGGCAAGTGGGGGCAGGGGAATCACAGAGAGAAGGGGGCAACAGCTTCTGCTTCCACCTTCAACTGCTTCTTCTTAGTCTCATTAGAAGACTTTTCTCTGCTGTCCTAGTAAATGTTAACGTTGCCCAAGACTCTGTCCTTGGCTCGATGCTTACAATAGTTAGGGTTCTCTTGGTTTCAAATAACAGAAAGCAACTCCAGCTGGCTTGAGCGGAAAGATTTATTGGGAGGATACAGGGTTACCTCACAGGACCCAGAGGGTTATGACTGGGCCTTGGATACAAGCTTTAACCAGAAGCCAAGCACCATAGGGCTTCTTGTCTCCTTTCTTGTTCCCCTCTCGGGGTCTTTTTCTTTTTTCTCTGCTCTCAATGCCAACTAGCTGCCTTGGGTTTCCAGGCCATATGGTAGAAAACATGTGTGCGACTCACTCCTGAGTCAGACCCACTTACTCAGCCCCTCAGAGGGGCACTGTTCTCTCTCACTCATGCCCACTCTTGGTGTTTCCCAAGGGAAGAGACTGAGTTGCTCAATAGATGTCCACCCTTGGGCCACTCAACTGAAATCAGATCAACAAAGTCACTCCGCACAGACAGTAGCATGTGGACTGAGGACAAAGACAGGGACTAGGACTTGGAAGTGAGAAGCTGGGGAAAAAGCTTATGGGATGAGGATTTGGATTGGGCCCAGAGCAAGTGAAAAGAAGGGGAAGGTGACATGAGTGGCTTCTCATTCTCTCTTTCTGTATTCGCCCTGAGAGCTTGGATCCTCCTAAGTAGCAAATCCGAGGAGCACTCTCCCCCCTAGACTATAGTTTACACCTAGACAGACATATGGTTTTCTTCTAAGAAAGAAAATTGGATGTCTGCTCAGATCTTACAAACTTCCCCTCTCTGCGACCAGCCCTGGGTACATCTGGGCGAGTCCCCAGTGGCCACATCCATACCCCCTGAGTGAACCAGACTTGAGTGTTCCAGGTGGCCAATCAGAGCCTCTATGTGGGGTCGCTAGACTTGGAACTGAATGGATCATGAGCCAATTCCTTTTCAGGATGCTGTGAGGCTGTCTGTGACTATGGGAGATAGGCAGAATCTGAAGGTGCTGGTATGGTTGGTTCTGGTTATCCTGGAAACCCACGGCACCACTGCTGTCTCTATGTTAGTTCTATCAGATAGCCCAGTGTTTTCCAGTACATTCTCTTGCAGTCTAAGCTAGTTTGGGTGGCTTTCTGTCATTGAGGCAAAAAAGAGCCTTGACTAGTCCAGGGTCAAGGGAGTTGCCCAACAGCTATCCCCAACTTGGCCACTCGCCTGCGGCATCAACTGTGGGAAGTGGCCCTTCCCTTTCCCTTGTCATGTTTCCCGGGAGAAATGAGGTCCGAATAGTCACTGCAATAGGAGGTTATGGCTTTCTGAATAATGCCACTTTGTTCATGTATTACTCTAATTTTGATATTTTAAAAAATCTGAAGTATGCATCATTTATGTTCTGAGATCAGGATCAACAACTCAATTATTCAACTTACGATGAAAATACTTGCTGAACAAAACTCTACCCAAAATCAGAAAGGAACAATTCATCAATTTTTCATCAACTGGAACAATTCGTACATAAACACAACAGCTACTCAATGATACAATTGATCCACTTTGTTTTTGAAATAAGATTTTACTTCTATTTGATTTTCAATGTTTTCTTCATTTTAGATAAAGTTTAGTTTATTAGGTTTTGAATAAGACTTTATTTTTAAAATGAACTTTTAATTTTAGAATAGTTTTAGATTTATAGAAAAATTATGAAAATAGTAGAGGGTTCCCATATACCTCACCCAGTTTCCCCTACTATTAACATTATATATGAGTAGGATACATTTGTCACAATTAATGAACCAATAGTGATACATTATTATTATTAGCTAAAGTCCATACTTGATTTGTTTCTACTTAATGTCTTTATTTTTATTTTTTTGAGATGGAGTCTTGCTCTGTCGCCCAGGCTGGAGTGCAGTGGTGGCACCATCTCGGCTCACTGCAAGCTCCACCTCCCGGGTTCATGCCATTCTCCTGCCTCAGCCTCCAGGCGCCCACCACCATGCCCGGCTAATTTTTTTTTGTATTTTTAGTAGAGACAGGATTTCACCGTGTTAGCCAGGATGGTCTCAATCTCCTGACCTCATGATCCGCCCACTTCGGCCTCCCAAAGTGCTGGGATTACAGGCGTGAGCCACTGCACCCGGCCAATGTCTATTTTTTATTCCATGATCTCATCCAGGATACCAAATGACATTTAGCTGTCACATCTTCTTACACTCCTCTTATTTGACAGTTTAAAACTTTATTTTTATTGGCCAGGCATGGTGGCTCACGCCTGTAATCCCAGCACTTTGGGAGGCCGAGATGGACGGATCACTTGAGGTCAGGAGTTCAAGACCAGCCTGGCCAACATGGTGAAACCCCTTCTCTACTAAAAATGCAAAAATTAGCTCGGTGTGGTGGTGCACACCTGTAATCCCAGCTACTCAGGAGGCTAAGGCATAAGAATTACTTGATTCCAGGAGGCGGAGGTTGCAGTGAGCCAAGATCGTGCCACTATACTCCAACTTAGGTGACAAAGTGAGACTCTGTTTCAAAAAAAATAAACCCAAACATTTATTTTTATTAAGGTTTTCTGCTAATACTTTGTAAGATAATGATGCTTAATGTTTCTATATTACAAATTTACAATTTTACTTGACTTTTAAATTTTGACACTTAAAAAGTGAATTATAAAGTTGTTTGACTAATGTTCATGTTATGCATTCTGAACACTTATAAATCAGAGTATTGATACCAGTATTTTGGAATTACCATCAATAAATGCTGAGTGTCCAGCATTGCTGTTCTGCACCAGTATAGCAGTGACTGGAGCCGAGCAGAATGGGCAAGACATGGGGAACATGAACACACACGGCTGAGGCTCTGGGTGCAGGACACGACTGCTAGGAGCCAGGGGGTGTGCGGCAGAGGGCAGCTGAGCAGCTCAAGGCTTGCTTCTGTGCAGTGAGACTCCCAAGCCTAGACCATCCTAAAGGGTTCTGCAAACATGTCTCTTGCCCCCAGCACCCTTACCACTCTGTTCTTCCTCTGTATACAGCCCAAGAGGGCTTGCTTGTGTTAGCCCAACCCAGTTTCCTTGTCTTGTACAGACAGTGCTCTGGGACCACTTTACAGTGATGATTTGGACTCAGGGACATCATCTTAGAGAAGTCTTTTTTTTTTTTTTTAAATTGAAATTTTTTTTTTAGAGACAGGGTCTTGCTCTGTCATCCAGGCTGGAGTGCAACAGTGCAATCATGGCTCACTGAAGCTTCAAACTCCTGGGCTCAAATGATCCTCCCACCTCAGCCTCCCAAGTAGCTGGGACTACTAAATCCAGATAATGCCACTAAATCCAGATAATTTTTTATTATTAATTTTTGGGAAGGGATGGGGTCTCGGTATGTTACCTAGGCTGGTTTCCAATTGCTAGGCTCAAGTGATCCTCCTGCTTTGGCCTCCCAAAGTGCTAGGATTGTAGGCATGAGCCTATCTTAGAGAAGTCTTAAGCCTGTGCTTCCCAAGGCCAGGCTCATTGCTTGGAACATAGTAAGTACTCTGTATGTGTAGGTGCTATTATTTCTTCAACCAATGTTGAGCAAATGAAGGAAACTGGCACCACTGGCAGGAAAAGGCTGCCCCTCTGCAGATATTAGGAGCTGATGAGATTCAGGGACCCAAGGTGGGATGGTGAGGACAATGAGGTGAGTGAGTGGAGCACCCCAGTCTGCAGTGTGGAGAGGGTGGGGGGCAAGAAGAGTGAGGAGGAAGGGGACCACCAGTGCCATCCCCAGCCCCAGCTCTATCAATGGCAGCCTGACTTAGGTCTGCTGGACACACAGAAGGAGACCCCCGGCAGCAACCACCTCTAGGATTCCGAGATGCAAGTCCATCATCAGCATCCAAAAATTATGATTAAAAGTTTAGTCAATTACTTATTGCATGCCTGTGCCAAAATATCTCCCGTAACCCATATATATGTGTGTGTGTATAAATACACATATACACCTACTATGTACCCACAAAAATTAAAAATTTTTAAAATGTTTAATCACAAGTCTGTAGTATAACATCATTAGTAGAGTCTGCTGACATTACAATCTATTGATCTCCCCAGAGTTACCAAAAGTATTTCACAATAGTTAGGCTTCCTTCTGTCCATAGTTCAGGGCATATTCAAAGTCTCTAAAGCTGACGTGACCATCTGAGTCTCGATCTACTTCCCTGGAAAATGAAACAAAAAGTCATTTACACATTATTCTCGTTAACACCTATGCACCGAGAGCACATTAGAATCTTTATTTATTTGCATGTCTGTGTGACAGAGGAACCTACTTTATCTACTTGAAGGCTGAGATTGATGCCTTTTTTTTCACTGATAATAAATGTTTGCAAGAAAGAAAGGGTATTTATTAAAACTTACAGAAATAATATATTCCACATACTTAAAGAGATGAAGCCAAATACACAGATTATATAAGAAAAAAAGAAATGGCTCTTTCTAATTATCTTACACATGTCTTTCTGTGATATGTCAAAAACATATGCAGGCCAGATGCAGTGGCTCACACCTGTAATCCCAGCACTTTGGGAGGCCAAGGCTGGTGGATCACCTGAGGTCAGGAGTTCCAGAGCAGCCTGGCCAACGTGGTGAAATCCCGTGTCTACTAAAAATACAAAAAATTAGCCAGGCATGGTGGCGGGCACCTGTAATCCCAGCTACTCGGGAGGCTGAGGCAGGAGAATCGCTTGAACCCGGGAGGGAGGCAGAGGTTGCAGTGAGCAGAGATCACGCCACTGCACTCCAGCCTGGGTGACAGAGCAAGACTCCATTTCAATTAAGGAAAAAAAAAAAGTGTGTTTGAAAGCATAACTGAGGAGTAGTGGTCCCAAGTCCTCTTTGGGGGGCATTCTAAAACAATGCCTTACAAGTAGCTCCTGCGGTTGATGCCAATCATATTTTGTTCAAACATCAAATTCGTATCAACCATGACATAGGACTTTTTAAAGCAAGGACTGGCCCAAGCAAGAGAGCCACTAATCACTGTAATAGTTTTAAAGCAGGCTTTTAAAATATTGAATTCTAAAATAAACTTTCTGAATATTTCATGCCAAAGTCTCTGAAGTCTATAATGGTTCTGGATAGAGTGATGATAATTTTTCATTCTTTTGAAGTAGAGAAAAATCCCTACTTCTCTGCCCCAGGGCAAAACCATGTTGCAGTGTGTTCGTATAAAATGATTGCAGACTGCGGAGGCCATTATTCTTATTACTTCTTTTGGTAAAATATACATGATGATTTCATGCTACACAGGACCAAAAGTATAGTGTCAGATCTCTTCTAAGGGAGTAGAAATAATCAGTATCACGTTACTAACTACAGAATATGAATCATCCCTTTTATTAAATTAGATAATTGAAGATTCTTAATATTGCCTAAGTATTTTTTCCCAAGGAATTGGATTAGATAAACAGCCTTTTTTCTTTCCACTCTGAACTGGTATGGTTGAACTATAAATCTCAGACGGTGAGTTAAGTGAATAACCTAGAAAAATAATGTTTAGAATAAACTGCTTCTGATAATATTTTTTGTGTGTGCGAGTGTGCTTATTCACTTATTGAGATGCTGAATGCTTGTAGAGAAGTGAGTCCCTTTGCCTGATTTTCTGAGTAAACGACCTCATTGTTATTGCATTAACTTTTTTTTTTGAGATGGAGTCTCACTGTGTCACCCAGGTTGGAGTGCAGTAGCGCGATCTCGGCTCACTGCGACCTCCACACCTCTCCGGCTCAAGCAATCTTCCCACCTCAGCCTCCTGAGTAGCTAAGAATACAGGCACACAGCACCACGCCTGGCTACTTTTTGTATTTTTTTGGTAAAGATGGGGTTTCTCTATGTTGCCAGGCTGGTCTCAAACTCCTGAGCTCAAGCCATCCCTCTGCCTCGGCCTCCCAAAGTGCTGGGATTATAGGCATGAGCCACTGTGCCCCGCCTGTTCTTGTATTAAGTTCTGACTTTTCTTGCTGCCTTTGCCAGAGCTTTCCATCATCAAATGAGCATAGTATAACCAAGAACTGTTAAAACTGGAAAGTGTATTCAAAATGTGTGGGGTGGCATTTTATTCACATAATGAATGGCAGGGCATCATCATTTTAAATTTATATTTCATATGAGACATGCTGAAATACTTTATGTCTTTGGACTTTTCGTCCTCATCACATATATACAAGCAGGTCTGGTCATCTCACAGAGAGTGCAGAGGAAATTCAAGTTCAGGGCTATCATTTTAAAAGCGAACAAATACTGTTTTTCATTGCAGACAGAATCATTCTGAAGAAGGAAGGTCTCATAGCACCCACACTCCAATCACTGTGACAGAAAAGATGTGTGGTGGGTAGAATTAGTGACTGGCTGCGGAGAGGAAGGAAATGTCATCAGGTAAAAAGCCCCCTCGTTTCTGTTACAGCATTCAACCCTAACGTGAGTTTGCTCTAGTTTTGCAACTAGAATACGTTGTTTGGGTGTCATCAACAAACCCTCAGCACTAAACAATTCAGCCTCCTCACCCCGCAACCCTGACGCGAAAGAAACTTGAGGACGGCAAGACCTTTGTCTTGTTTGCTGCTGTGGCCCCACTTCTTGCCCCACAGCAGAGGACGAATGTTGAATGAATGAATTTGTGGAATAAATGAATCTGAGGAAACAGCTGATAATATTATAGAAAATCTATTACCTTGCAGGAGGTACTAGGGGATTAAAGAAAGAAACTATCACCTCATTGTCTTCACTGAGTCTAAAAACGCTTGTGGCCTGACGTGGATGGGCTGCATGCGCTGTAAGATCCGCAGCCACTGTGGGAAGCCCAGGCGGGTGGATCACCTGAGGTCAGGAGTTCGAGACCAGCCGTGGCCAATGTGGTGAAACCGCATCTGTACTGAAAAATACAATAACTAGGCAGGCATGGTGGTGCATGGCTGGAATCCCAGCTACTAGGAAGGCCTGAGGGCAGGAGAATTCGCTTGAACCCGGAGGTGGCAGGTTCGCGGCAGTGGAGTCCCAAGATCCGTGGCATATTGCAACTGCAGCCGCTGGGTGAAAAGAGCCAAAACTCAATCTCATAACATAATATACAATAAACCGTGCGCTGAGAAACACCTCAGACCCATCATCATTCAGGGATGCCGTAAGTAACTCATTACGGTTTCACAAGGCTCAACCACATTTTGGCAAAAGGCAATAGACTAAGGTACCAGACCGAGACACAACATGAAGAGACACGCTTTGAAAAATGAGGGCTCAAAAACACGGGGGGGCAGTTGAGGCGGGGGAAACCCCGCTTGAATGTCAGACTCGAAGCCAGCTTAGAGTTATCGAGAAGCAGGAAACTCGTTGAACGCAGTGCCTGAACACTTGGTGCACGTGTTGCTAAAACCAACCCCCCCGACAGTCAAAGACCCACGCACGTTCAATCCAGTGAAGCAGCCTGCCCCTTTTCTCCGAGACAACTAGGGATATAGCGTATAGACACCATATAGCCAAGAGCTTTTAATCTGCAGAAATGGCTTGTCAAAGGAATTAAAGTTTATGCGCACGTGTAAAAAGACGGAGAATTAATTGTTACCCTTAACAATTAACTGCTTCTAGAACATGTACGTCCAGTGAAATTAACAAGGCCTTTTTGGTGTGTTTGTTTTTGAGATGCAAAAGGCAGAGACGCCTGGACCACTGATTTGGGACGTGAGAGACTCAAAGAGAGCAGAAACTGGGCCCGGGCCGGCGGTCGCCCACCTGTACATTCGCACGCAGCTCCTGGGAGTGCTGAGCGTAGGCTGGATCGAGCTTGAGTGCAGGATTCTGCGAAGAAAAGCAGCCCTGGCCAATGGCATCGGAATGATAACGCGCGCCATCTCTATTAAAAAGACAAAAATTAGATAGGCCGGGTGGGGCACGTTGCCTGTAATCCGCAGGTACTGGAAGGGAGCTGAGGGCAGCGACGAATCCGGCTTGAGCCTGGGAGATGCGAGACTGCAGTGTAGCTGAGTTCTAGCCACCTCGCAGCCTGGGTGATCAGACGCCACGAATCACCCAATTCTTGCAAGAAAAGAAAAAAAAAAAAAAAAAAGAGAGAGAGAACTGCTCTGTATTACTTGGTATGAACAATTTAGGACCATCCAGGAGGAAGGAGATGACAAGCCAAGACAGGAGAGGGTACAGGCACAGGGAGATGCCATATGAGGACAGTCATGAAATTCCCCAATGATGTGGTGACCAAAAGTCCTTCGATTAACTGTTACGTCTCCTACGTACTTCCAAATTGTTTGTATTACCTGTTCTAACCTCTCCCCTATCTTCACTAGGAGTTCAAGACCAGCCTGGGCAAAATGGTGAAACCCCGTCTCTACTAAAAATACAAAAATTAGCCGGGCGTGGTGACGCACGCCTATAATCCCAGCTACTGGGGAGGCTGAGGCAGGAGAATCGGTGGAACCCAGGAGGAGGAGCTTGCAGTGAGCTGAGATCGCGCCACTGCACTCCAGCCTGGGAGACAGAGCAAGACTCCGTCTCAAAAAAAAAAAAAAAACAAACCAAAAAACAAGTGGTTATAATTACTTTCATCAGCATGAATGTTAGCATTTTTCTCTGTCACATCCAGATTTGTTACACAAGATTCTAATTGCTCTTTTTGGTGGTGCTGTGTGGGCTTCAACAGCCCAGGCTGGCTGCTTCCCTGACCCAGAGCTAAGAGGTCTCAACCCTGAAGGAGCCAGGGTTTTACACTGGGAGACTTTTATTAAGATTAGTAATAAAAGGGTGGGAACATATTGCTCTAATACATTCTGAAGGAAAACCTAGGGTTTTTTAAATTAAAAAAATATCAATAGTTGGCTGGGTGCAGTGGCTCAAGCCTGTAATCCCAGCACTTTGGGAGGCCAAGGCGGGCAGATCATGAGGTCAGGAGTTGGAGACCAGCCTGACCAACATAGTGAAACCCCATCTCTACTAAAAATACAAAAAATTAGCTGGGCGTGGTGGCGGGTGCCTGTAATCCCAGCTACTTGGGAGGCTGAGGCAGAAGAATCACTTGAACTCAGGAGGCGGAGGTTGCAGTGAGCCAAGATCACACCACTGGACTCCAGCTCAGGTGACAGTGCGAGACTCTGTCTCAAAAAACAAAACAAACCAAACCAAAACAAAAGTAAATAGTCAGTGTTTCTCACAAGCA